AAGTTTGAAGAGCGTTGCCGACGCGATGAGGATCATGCTCGCGGCAACCATGTGGCTCATGCGGATGAGCGGGGACGATCATCGCACGCATTACGACGCATGGGTGTTCGTCCAACTGTGTCGCACGGAAGTTTGAAGAGCGTTGCCGACGCGATGAGGATCATGCTCGCGGCAACCATGTGGCTCATGCGGATGAGCGGGGACGATCATCGCACACATTACGACGCATGGGTGTTCGTCCAACTGACAGCAAAGCCGACGCTCATCGCATCCATGCATCGCTCATTCGACGCACGTTGCCATATCCTGCCAGTTGCGATCGTCATCACGGATAAGTTGGCCAAACCCTCCATGACTTTGGTAGCCCCTCCATTGTACATCCCCGACTGGGCGTCAATCGGCGTGAAGTTTCACATGACGCCACATTGTCTTTCCCCATGGAGGCAAAAAAACACGATTGGTTGGGCACAGGCCCCCGAGAACACGAACACGACGGCAAAGCCGACAACGAAGGGATCGGGGGAGGGTTGATGACGCGTTCAGGGCGCCCCTCCTCGACGTCGTCGTGGGATAGGGTGGTTGTCGTATTTTTCGGAGAGACGGTGACGTGGGATGGGGGACGCCCGAAGGGGGGGTGGTGTGGGAGGGGGGGGGTTGGGGGCGTCGTGCATGTGCGTGTTCATCGTGCTTGTTGTTTTCTCTTGCGCGCTGCTGCTTTGTCGTCACTTGGTTCGATACTCCTCGACAATCGTCGTGCCGGAGTGCACATATGTCATGGAACTTAGTGGGAGAGGAGGGCGGGGGGGACTTTTCTTTTGCGTTCCCCCCCCGCAGGCATGTAACTTTCGTGTCACTGTACGGTCCATAGTTAACACTCTGACTTCGTAGCCAACGTCCTGTGCTCGCCAACACGTGGGATGATCTTGGCACGGGGATGGAGGTTGTCGCCAACGAGTCTTAAAGTTTCCGGGTGGAGAGGGGAGAGATGGAAGAGAGGGGATGTGGTAGAGGGGGTGTGTTTGGTTCGGTTTCTTCTCAAACATGTTAAGGGTATACGTTAGAGATGGGGGGGGGGGCGGGGGGGATGGGGGGGGGGGGGGGGGGGGGGGGGGGGGTGTTGGTGATCGGTCATGGTAGCGGACGTTTTCGTGATGGTGATCATCACCGCCCCGGGTCGGTTGTCGTAGTGCTGTTTCATGAACCTTTCATTTTCTTTAATTTTTTTTTCATTTTTTTTCTTCAAACATGGCAAATCAATGTTTGCATCTGTTAAAGCCAACATGTAATTGTGTTGATTGATATTGATGATGTCTACATCGTGTTGTTGCTTGCTTTTTATTCCGCTTTCATTTACATTATGGTAAGCGGGACGTAACGGGGTCAAGGATGCTTGCTTGAACAGTGACGGCATTGCAAATGTGCGAAGCAATGATGACAATACAAATAACATACAACAACCTCGTGCACTTCTGTACTTTTCAGTCATCGTGAAAGAAGAAGACAAGCCATACAACATAAATAATTTACACGATATGTGTTAGATTGTTGTGTCTCATACAAAAAAGCAGCTGACGACGACACATTTTGCAAAAAATAAAGGTCTTCAAGGCAACTTCAATCCCAAGTTTCCGAAAACAAAACACGCACGATGACAACTCGACCACGTTACCCAGACACGTCACCCACGCTGACACCATACTACACAACAACTACGATCGTCACGTGCACGCGCGTCACGTCGCCCCCACCGACTACGCATTGTCGAGCACATAGGTCCGACACCACACAAGGCAGCGCGGGACCCTCCCGGCCGCATCACGCAGGAGTTGGTTTTAATCCTCGTCGCAAATGCATATGGAGCTTCCGCAAGACGCTCCGGCCGAGTGCGCCAGCCATACCTCTCGGGAACCCCTACGACACGATAGGGCCTACTCACGACACTCCTGGCTTTCACCTTATGGGAACTTTCACCTCCCTTTGGTGGGCGTATCCCCGCTGAGCTACCTGTCCACAGTACGAAAGTTGATCAACTGCAATCGAAGAGGTGGACCGGCCGAGGGCGTTTCTCGTTCGTTGTAGCATAGGGTGTACGCGTGGTATTACGCCTCTATCGGACCCGCATGCGAACTGACGCCTTGGGGGGTTGAGGTCCGAAGTGCGACTCGTCGTCGGTCGATTAGGACGCATCCCACGAGCCACGTGCAAACCACTATAAAGAGCATAAAGAAAAAATAAAAAACACACACACACATACGCACGCACGTATACATATACAAAACGACATTGAACAAACAACGTGACAACACTCCTAGTCCCTTAGTAGTCATCCAATAACTCCCCGATGCGGAAATCGGATAGGTGTCACACGCGAGACTTAGTATAAAACCGCGCGGACACAGGGCTGACTCATATCGACTCGCAACGCAAGCGTACACAAGCAGTCGCAATGATGACGTACTATGTAGTGTCCATAATCAAGCGGTCCCTCGTGAATCCGAGTACCGCTTATGACACTCAAGTGTCAAACTCGAAGTATCGTGAAGGTTTGCCCCTTCATGATATTGCACAGCTGAAGGAATAGTCGTACACCACAGCGACACCTCTCACCTTTAGGCTAAGTGTCCCGACAGGCAGGGCAAATAGGCTTTGCGCGAGGGGATATCCCTTCCATGCAGAGTCTAGGACCTAAGATGTCCTGGACAAGGACCTTGAATCCGGGCCCAAGACCAACGTCCGACAAATAAATCTTTAAGAAGTATACCATAAATACGTGCGGGCCCTCTCAGGCCACGCGAACACCCAACATAGGTACATACGTATATATATGTAAAGGGGAACAAGTATGTGACAATCACTTCTCACAACCACAGTGAAACTCCTCACAGCCATAAATATGTGTGTGATCGCAAATAGTTAAATCCAACTTTGAACCACAGTGCATAGTATTACCTGCAATCACATCAAAGAGTCAACCAAAAGTCCACACACTACACGGAGTCAACTTCAACCAACCTCTATACTCATACCCCTCGCTTTAGCCATGCAAGCCCCAACCCTTATGCAACCAACCATAATTAAATACTCAGTACGTTCGTTAAATGACCATTCAATAAAAGTTCCGACGAAAACATTAAGAAAACAACAAAATTCACCAGGGCTAAAACCTTTTAGGTTGAGTATTGAGGATGAATTGGAGTTGAGTCGTAGACCGACAAATCGACAACCGACCTGTTATCAGTGATAACATAAGGTGATCATTGTAGGATCAAACTGAATCTAGTCTTGATTTTGAATCAAACGTTCAAGAGGACCTGTAACACAGGACAGGTCAATCCCAAGCTAAATCTATAAGTCCAAAACGAGAGTAATCTCCATATCATGATTTCATCAAGAATCATTCTACTTAAGTAATC